CGTAAGGGCGCCTGTTGACTAATAGCCAGCATCTATTTGCAATTTGCCAGTCTCTCAATCAATTATCTTTACCCACATCGCCTTCTACCGTCTCTTCGTTTTTTAGGGGGGAAGGGGGGGTGTTGAAGGCAAATGGGAAGAAAGGGTTGAGGGTAGAGATGGGACAAGATGGGATTTTGGTTTCTTCAGACCGAATTTCGCACATTTCGGCAGGCTGGGTGACCTCATCTGGTGAACCGAGTGGGACTTGCCCTGCCTTGGAAACTCGAGGCTTGGCAAGCTAAGCACTGATCTGCTATGACGTAGGTCAAGCTCTTTCGTCCCGCCGCCGCTGCTTCCCCCACGACGGTTGGCTGTCGTCCATTGGCTGCAACGACTGCAAGCCATCAAACCCTGGGCGCATCGGATATCAGGGTCCTCTCTGGGGTCTGGACCACTGATGATCGCCATTGCATTTCTTCCAGGCTTCTCCCTCCGGCCATCGGACTGCAGAAACACAAGATGTCGTGGTCCTTGACAACAATCCATCGGGTGTACAACATCGGAACATTCCCAGCACGCACAATGCACGTCAATTGATCTCAGATGCCAAGACTTGCATTATTTCGACACGAGATGATTGGCTGTCATGTGCGAGGCTCTCTTTAACCAGATGCTGACGTCTGACGATGACTCCATGGTGTTTTGGACGATCTGCTTGTCTGTGGCACATGTCAGCTGAAAAGAAACTTGGGAACTTCGATGCACGATTACGTACTGGCTCAGAGTTAAGGTGCTCAGGGGTATATTCTGAGCATGTTCCAACTGCCCCATGGGACCAAGTAAACTCTGAGACACGATAACCTCGTTAGCATTCGATGCAGGTCTTGAGATGTGACCATAACATCTCACCATTGCATCTCATGAGTGACGTATATGCGCCCCTGGGAGGTGTTTGGGTCATCTGTTGGATCATGAGAAAGCCGTCTGTTTGTGTTTGTGAAGAACTGGACGGCTGATGTTGGTTGCTGGCATCTGACATGATGATCTTGGTACGAAAAAGCAAAGAGAAAAAAAAGAAACATGCCGCGCTTGCTTCGACCTGAAATTTGCTACAGCCACACACGCCGTGATATATGCCAAAATTCCAAGTTGAGTTGCCATGGGATAGTTACCTTGGGTAGCCCTTGAAAACTACACTCCACCTTCTCTACACGCTGCGCTCTTATCCCGTGGGATCTTGAAGCGACGTAGATTCCCGAATTGGGAAGCCGTGAACGACAAGCGCAGGGTGAAAGATGGGCACCCGTGCCGATGGGTCGGAGCCCAAATGGATATCGAATTGTAGATCATGTTCGGTGTATCCCGCAACGTGACCATATTCAGACATCGGTTCTTTTGTCCACGTCCCTTGATTGGATGGCTATATGGGCCGATCAAGGTCCTTGGCAGGAACCATGGCATAGGGTTTGATTTATCGTCCCATATTGGTGGCAACAGCCAGCTCACTGGGAACCTCCGTCTTTGATTCAAAGAGGGGACTTGGCTGAGCTGGATGACATCTCCACTTTGATCGTACCTTATGCTAGGTATGAAGGTGTATGTTGAGGCACCAGTGCTGACGGCAAGGCAGAATAGACCCTGAAGAGCGGCAACAGCTCCTGGGCCGGCGAGGAGACCACTCATGGCGAGGAAAACCTGAGCTGTTGTTGAAGTGAGAAAAGAAACCAGGGGAGAAGGAAGAACTGACGTAGGGGTGATCGTCGAAATAAGGTGATTTTCGTGGCCAAACATAGGAGCCGTTGGCCGGTTACAGTCCGCTATGAGGGCGCAGCATCCCCTGATTGGATGTTGGGTCAATCCGATCTGGCCCAGCATGGCATAAGCCTCCCAGTCGGTACGTCACTGAGCGGTTATGAAGTCCTGAAAATCTGGTAAACCAAGGAAATTTCCGTCATCAAACGTACGAGGGATGGAAAAGAGGCCATGCATCTCCTATTCTGGACTTTGTTAACAAAAGTCATGTGCCGAACTCGTGATTCTCGGCCAGCCATACCATTTCGACTTTGGGAGATCTGGATGCGTGGGGTGCCTGGAGGCTCCCGTGGGTGCTGACCCAGGATCTCATAACTCCCCTGCCTTCTCCTCGCTCGAGGATGGCCGTCCAGACGGTTAAGTGTGCTTCTCGACCAACTGCTCCGTGATCTCAAAGACTCACCTCATACCTGCCAACCACCCTCACCAAATCACCACCAAACTTCAAGTTGGAGTTTCTTGGAGGCCTTATTCCCGTTATTGAATCCGCCTTTGGTGCATGCCGAGCCCAACACATCACACCTGTCGCCTCTTGCATATTATTAGTTTGCTCGCTGCCAGTTGTTCCTGAAGGTGAGTGGCGTGGATGCTATAATGATTGGCGGGAAACTAACATGGCAATTGTTCAGTGCAGGAAGGACCAGCGGGATTCTGGCGAGATATAGCTGCTGGAACCGATCAATAGCTGATGTGTCTCTGATCACAGGGTGTACATTCCCAACATAAGTCCAAGGTGAGATGAGATCCAAGCATTCCAGATAGTGGCCTGTTGCTAATCCTACCAAGATTCTGGGACCTGCTCAGCTGGATGGCATTATGATGGACTGAGGACAATGGAGGTTCGCCAAGTGTATGTGTCGGTTTGAGTCCGTCACTATTTCAGGAACTTGGGGTGGTTGCTAACTGTTTTGATAGGACTCTGTACTGAATATCGCCACGCTGAGAATGCGCACACACGGCACTGGGAAGGCCCCGATCAACAAGCGTCGGCAGCCCCAATTGCCGATCGCCAGCTCCCGAAACCCGCTAAAACAAACGGCCCCCAGCCCGCTAGCGAGTCTCACCTCGGGCTGCAACACCTCAGCACGACAGGAGACAGCCCAAGTCCAGGTCTTTGAGAGAAAGTTCGGCTTCGACGTCGCGGCCATGTGCGACTCGATTGGCTGTGTGTGTTGGGGGGTGGTGGACGGCCGGTTTGGATTTTCTGCACCGGTTAGCACACGCTCTGCTGTTGGCTCATTCGTTGATCGGTTTCGATGGGCTCTCCCGACCGGCCATGATTGGCCGCGTCCGTTACACATCCCCCGCGACCACCATTCTGGCCAGGGTCCGCGCAGGGTCCGACCTTATTATCCAGAGCCGCATCAGGATATCAACTCCCTCAACAATCTTAACTTCCTCCTTGGATACCATCTCGCCTCGCTCCCTTCATCAGACCAGCAATCGCCCGCCCTTTTGGCCGCCCTCACCATGGACTTTTCCGGCAAGGACCTCGAGGACATCCAGCGTGTCGCCGGCCTCTTGAATCTCACTGTGGACGAGCTGCTCGAGCAGAGCCGTGCCCGCACCCAGCTGGCCGAGCCTGCCACCACACCCATCCAGCAGCAGCAGCAATCCCTCCCCCTTCATTCCTTACAGCCGCAAGCCGGGCATTCGACCTGGTACCAAGCTCACCCCCTTCAGAATGAGCATTATCGACCCCCTGTGGAGATAGACCTGGAATCTCTCGAGTTTGAAGACGATCTTGCTCAGCTGCCACAGGAAACTTCCGTGTCACATCTCCAGGGGACCACGGTGGAGCTTCTGAACCCTCGGCGCTCAGAGTATGACTGTGACGTGGGAATTTGGGATTTCGAGATGGTTGGAGACAGCTTTGAATTCGACAACGTCCGCTATCGCCCTGGTCATGAACAGAGCTCTTCGGTCTCGGCCACCCCAATGCAACTGGACTCGGAATCATTGAGCGACAACCTACGCGAAGAGCCTGTCATTGTGGACGACGCATCGACGGACTGGGCACTTGTGCCTTCGCCACCTGATTCGCAGTCCTCGGCCATGTCCCCTTCTTCGGGCTCGGGAGAGAAGCGTTACCCTGCTCTTGCGCCGAAAGCTTCCAGGTCAAGCTCTCACTCGGTATCAGAGGGCTCCTCACATCGTGTCCGGAAGAAGCGCAGTCCGTATGAAGGCAGCAAAAAGACCGACACACATCTCACCCGACAGGTGCATGCCTGTGTCAGATGTAGGATGCAAAGGAATAGGGCAAGTTTTTTTTAGTACTTCATTGTCCTTTCTCGAGAACTAACACCTTTTAGTGCATTCCCGATCCCAGCAACCCTCGCGGCCCTTGCTTGACATGCCAACAGAGAACCGTCCGCATGAGCCGGCTGCCATGTCTGCGGTACATGGTAACAGACACCATACTCTTCCGGACTGGGCTCGACTACATGCCCTTTTACAGAAACCACCCCATGATAGGTCCCAACTATGGCGATTTTCACTTGGAGCGGGAATGGGTGCCAGGTCCATCCAAGTATCTCTGCTTGGGACAGATTGGATCCATGAGCTTCAAGGTAGAGTTGAGACAGTTCGTGCCGCCCTTGAACTCGGGAGATGTGGATTTGAAAAACAGGCCCATGTATGCCGTCCCCTGGGCCGTGGCCGACCCGGAAGCTGTGGTGCAATCAATCCACGAATACATTGATCGCGGCATCACACGCTACATGGACGCCTATCTTGACGACTCGGATGACCTTGTCTGGGGAATCTTTCAGGCTGCCTACCGGGCATCCATCTTCCCTGTCCCGGTATGTTGTTGTTGGCTGTATATCGGTTCGTCTTGTTACTAACATGAATGCCCGTGACCAGAATGAAATGCTTCGGAAGACGCTCAAGCTGTGGGTGGCTTGTCGATTTGTCGAGTCCAAGTGGCGGTGCTGGGCTGCGGCTGGATGGGCCGACGACGACATCAAGGCGTCGAATCCTCAGGACCCCTTTTACAAAGACATCGATTCCCTGCCTCCGTATCTAGACTACCAGGTGGCATCCATCATCATCCACCGCATCCTCAGTCCTCTCCGAAAAGACGTGCTGCGTGAACTGCAAGCGACGTTCAACGTCCACAGCCCCAATGATTGGTTCATCAGCTTCCTGGCTTCGTTCATCTTGCTGCAAAACTACGAAATGCAGATGCTCTTCCAACAGCAGTTTGCGTCCAGAAGGAAAGCCAGGGTAAGTCACATCTCCCGGGCCCGGGGAGCCGCGCTTTGCTCCGATGAATGCGCTAACCCGCCTGGCTGCTTTGACAGGTAAAGTACCTTGACATGCCACTCGTCAGGGCCACGAATTCGGGGGCGAAGACGATTCTGGCTCACTTCCACTACTGCTACAAAGGCCAGCAGCTGTTCACAGAGGGATTTAACTGGAACGCCCCGCGAGTGCGTCGGATGGCGCGCCTGGATAAGGAACAAACCGATTTTATGGCGCAGTGCCGCGACATTGTGGTCAAGAAGGGTAAGACAAGCCCTCAGCTGGTGTTCTGTGTACAGCACTGACAGTGACCAGGCCCCGTCTTTGAAGCCATCAACCACACGGACGAGTATCACAAGAAGTATTGGTATACGAGCCAGCTCTTCGACCCAGATTGGACGCCTCGCGATACGCTGGAACATGCCCCGCCGGCCGAGATGGAGGCTTGAAAGTGGCCTGATTTCTGCCCATGCTTGTCTCGTTTTGGTAATGTGGATGACCTGGTTGTGTGGCCAGCAGGGTGTGAGCTGAACGAGAGCCCCTCACTTGACAGCTCGGGTCGAGTTCGAGACCAACGGGAAGCCAACGGGTCGATTAGCACACGAAATGTAGACTCCGCCAATAAGCAGCCCCGCTCTTATCACCTGCAGTGTGCTCGCGCGAAGAGGAGGGGGGGCGTCGTCCTAAATCCGGCATGGGCTATTGGGTAGGCGTGCAGTCGACCCCTCCTGCTGTCTTACCTTACCCGACATGGAAGACCCTCATTTTGCGGAGTTGCGACTTTCTCGGAATCTTGAGCCGCATCACATCGTGTTACCAATTCGCACGGCTTCGTGCACCCACCTCTTTTACAAGACGCGCTGTAGAAGCCTATATAGATGGCTCAGGGGCTGCTGGATGTCCTTTTTCCTTCCGGAGCATCACCAGCAACAGCCTCGACTCATTCGTTATTATTTCCACAACATTCACAATGGGCGCCGAAACCATCCTCTCACATACCGAGCATATCCCCGCCTGGGGTGATTTGACGCTGACTCTGAAGGGTGAGCTGGCCCCTGCAACCATAACACCCAAGCTGCCAGACGAGATCAGCGGCCCCCTTGCCTGGAACCCTTCAACCTTTGAGTCTGACGCCGACTACACTATCACCCTCGACGACAGGGAGATTAAGGAGGTCAGGTCTGCCCTCTCCCACTTCAACGGTACGTCGTGTTATGCCTCCTGCCTTGTAGCTGGTTCTAGCTAACAAAAAGAAGAGCTCGACCTTTCTGGAAGCGAGGTTTCTACCACCACTTTCCCGCTTCCCACTCTCGGCCCAAAGCTCAGGCAGGCTGCTGAGGATGTCCACAACGGAAAAGGCTTTGTTGTTGTCCGAGGTATCCGGGATATGCAGCCCGGCGAGTTCTCACCCGAGGACAAAATCATCATCTTCCTTGGGATTTCGAGTTACATTGCCGGTGCTCGGGGAAGGCAGGATGAGAACGGCAACATGCTGTGTAAGTTCAGTGCTTCTAAGTTTAGTGCCGCGTAACTAACGAGAGACAAGCGCATATTCGCAATGCCAAGCTGTCAAAGACACCACAGTCCCAGCGCCCAACCAGATACTCATCTCGTGCTTCTGTAGGTCACACCAGGCCATATGTCGAAGCTGCTGGCCGCTGACCTGTTCTGATCTAGACGTTCCACACCGACACATTCTGTGATATTCTTGCTCTCCAGTCGCGCAGTAATGCCATGGAGGGCGGAGCCACCCTTGTCTCGTCCACCTGGACCGTCTATAACAAGCTCCAAAAGGAGCATCCAGATCTCTGCGAGCTCCTTGCGCGGCCCATCTGGCCTTTTGACAGCCGGGGAAGCTTCTTCCCCTGCAGCACTCGACCTCTGCTGTATCATCACGACGGAAAGGTCATGATGAACTTTGCTCGCGAACCCCTGCTGGGTCTGGAGGATGTCAAGCGCAAGGCGGGTCTTCCTGTACTCTCACAGGGGCAAAAGAATGCCCTGGAAATTGTGGAGAGGCTCGCAACCGAGGGCCAGATAAGCATCAACACCGAGCCTGGTGACCTGCTCTTCATCAACAACCACGGGGTTCTCCACTCACGGGAAGAATTCACCGACGCTGTCGAGAACCCTCGCTATCTCGTCAGAATGTGGCTCAAGAACGAGGAGCTCGCTTGGGATCTCCCTGAGGACCTCCAGTACGGCAACTCTCGAATTTATGACCGGGACAATGGTCTCGGCGAGAGGTGGAATCTGGCGGACACTCCCCGTATCGAATTCGCCGTGGCTGAGCGGCTTACCTCTTGAGCCGCATCTATCTAATGGGTAATGATTGTGATGACTGGGACAAAGGGCAAAAATCAGGCGTTGGGGAAACGGAGTTGAAGCGTAGGAGGCTTGACAAAAGCCATACTTGTTTTTGGTTTGGGTTCTCTTTTTAACGCATTTTTAATTTCTTGGAGTCATGGTTTTTTCACTTTTGGCAGTTGGTCTTCTTGGCATTCAGGGGTTTGCACGCAGCTTTGGTTTCCGAGACATTGAGCAGAATCACAATCGATGATTTTACTTTTTTGGACAGCGCCTCCCAATCGGGAAAACGACTCGGGGGTCTGGTGTTTCTTCTGGGAATTTTCGTTGGCACCAACAGGCAGAAAAACAGATAGCGGGTTTTAGGGCAGACCCCCCGCCATTCAATGTGGATGCAAAGCCACTTGCTAGATCACGACGCTATGGAAGGCTTGCCAACAAATCTGGCGGCTACACCTAGAGGTAGCCAGCAAAGCAAAAATCACTAATCGACAAATCACAGAGAATCCAGATAATCGCACACAGTGCGGCGTTAGTACATAATGTTCTATCCGGAGAGGGATAGCGAAGGGTGTTTGGACGGCGAGAGGTGTGATTGGGACTCGGTGATCTAGCCCTATGCAAACCCAAGGAGAAGGGGCATGGACTTCTGCAACCCTGTCATCTGCAGCAAGGGACCAATATTTGCGGCTGTTATACCTGTTTTCTCCCACACTGTCTCATCTCAGGTGCCCAAAAAGGACAGGAACTTGTGAGCGTGTGGAGAAAATGCCCGTGATTTGACAGGCTGACTGCAGAACCTAGGAGGAGGAGGGGCGTGTACATGAAGGGTGCTCTCGTTTCCTCATCGGACCGCTGCTGATGAGCGGGAGCCGGCCAGTGAGAGGACGGTCCGGTCCCGAGGGCGGGCAGGACTGGCTGCGGGTGTTGTGGAAGGGTAGGTGGAGCAAGCCATCTCACATGTGGGCGTGGTTCGTGGGCTTGCATTGTTGTGTCCCCCGATTTTGGGGTCTTAGGGTCTCATTTCCTTGGATGATGGTGGGGGAGTGTCTTGGTGGCCGGGTTTGCTCGGCATTTGTGAGTTGATATTCGGGAGTTGGGGGCGGATAGAAGTTTGGATTATAGTCGGGTACGATTGTAGTTCTCAGGGTCCTCCCACTATGTTGGTCGTGCTGGTTCCCGTCCACGCCGTCGTACACGGCTGTTTACCACGAGACTGGTTGCTTGGCACTAGCGTAGGGCTGGTGACCGGTTCGACAGAGGTATGTATGAGCGATGCGGCATATTCCTTCTCCGAGATGGAAATGATAGACCGGGGATCGACCGGTTGCCTGCCGAGGCCGGTAAGATGCGGGGCAGTTAGGGTGCTTACTCACTATTAGTCAGCCAAGTACAGTGGGGTCCCACGAGGGCGTCATTGAAAAGTTTGTCAAAGTTTGAGGATATAGTGGTGATGCGGTCCCCTAGTTTTGCAACGAGACATGGTATCACAGGACTGCCGGAGTGGTGGAAATCTCATGATCTTGGCGTTACATGCAAAAACATGTGAGTGAGCTTGTCTTCTGGGCCTGGCTGGTGTTACAGTTGCGCGTTTCGGAGTTAAAGACCAGATAACATTTGTGAAAAGTGAAAAGTGAAAGATGATGAGGCCCCGCCCAAGGCTCGGCTGCCTACTTAAAACGAGAGTTTGGGAGCCTGGCATACAATGGATTTGTTTGCATTCGACAGCATCATTGACCGGTCACTACCATCGCAGGAGAAAGCATGGAACTCTCAAGCACCGTTGTCGCCGACGTTCTGACCCCTCTGGCAGTCTACCAACTGCAGAAGCCAGTTGAAGAACACGCTAAATCACCAGAGAATAAAGATACCGCTAGAGGCCAAAACCTAGCTTGGAACCGAGACGACTTGATTCGCAGTCTTACGCCCTCAGTCGACCCAAAATGGAGAATCGATGGAGTTGATACCGACGGCAGACGCTTCTTCGCCTTGCCGCTATTTGCCATAGACAAGCAGCCAGTCCGAATCGATGTTTGGCTCCCACCTTTTGAGGAGTACCCCCTCGAACTTCGAAGCATCTTGAAACCCGATGAGGCCATGTACACCCCCAGAGACCAACTTCTTTCGCTTCCCATCTCAAAGTTTCTGCTCAAGACTCTCGAAGAGTGGTCACCTACCGTACCGGGCTTTGAGCGAGACTATCTGGCGGCTCCTTTTGGCTCTCGCATCATCATCGCTGACATGGCCGCCTCCACCCGAGACATGACTATTTACCTGCTGCCTGATTACGACATTGAGCAGAACATGTGCAGCGTCGACCAGCTCAAGAAGGCCTGGTGTAACAAGGTGAACGAGGAGGACTGGCCCCCTACCATCGATGTGAGTGAGCTCAGCTTCAAGAAGCAGATTCACGAAGCAATCAGTCTTGTCACCTTGCCAGGACAATTGGGCGACCGGGTAGTTGCGCTCAAATCGTTGCTGAGAGACCAGCGATACATGTACAACGAGATCAAGACCCTTCTGTCACTCCGACCTCATGCCAACTTGGTGCCAAGGCCGCTTTTTCTCGTGACGAAGAAGGCAAAGTTTGGCGGCAAGAGGGGGGTTGCAGGCTTCGTGATGGAGTATTTTGAGGGCGGATCCCTCAAGGACTTGCTGCTTAGGAACAAGGCTGAGGGAACCGAGTTGGACATGCGCCAAAAACTCCGGTTTGCGAGGCAGTTGACAGAGGTCTTGATTCATGTCAATCAGCACCGATTCGGGTTCTATCCGGATTTGAAGCCGGACAATCTCGTCATTCGCTCCGACGGGAAGACAAAAGAGGTCATGGACCTGGTGTTGCTGGATTTGGAACAGCGAGGGGGTTGGTTTTCGTGGAGCCCCCCTGAGGTGCTGTACGTTGAGTATATGGAGATTCTTGCCACATGGCTTGACTATGAACACGGTCAACAGAAGCAACGCGCTACCGAGAGGTTGCAGAACTGCCTTGGTAGCTGGGAGGCCACTACCCAGTCGACGAGGTACAAGGACCAGGATGGTGGGTTTAGCTTTGCTTGGAAGGCCCTGTTGCAGGAAAGGCTGGAGACAAACAGCAAGAGGTTGGAAAGAGCACAAGTGTTTATGCTGGGGAAATTGTTGTGGTGTCTGTTCGAAGGTGAGGCGAGACTGAGGTGTGGCATTGACCACGAAATTCTCCAGGAAAATGATGCACAAGATGCCATTGGGTTTCCGCACTTCGACAACACACCCAAACATGTGCAGGACATGATCAGGGAATGCACAAGGGGGGCCCCAGAATGGGAGGTCGATGAGAAGAGAGGACGGAAGACTGGGTTGACCCTGAAGGGTGGTAAGTTGGTACAGACCAAAAGCATCAGTGTCGATGAAGTCACAGATACTGCGACAAGAAAAATCGCTAGAGCTTTCTGGGAACGAGAGCTGGAGCAAGCCAATGCTTTCATGGATGAGTTGCTCTCGTGCGAGCGACCGGGTATCGATGCGACAGGCTGCATCCTCCCCGAGGCAAAACGTCGGCCACTGCTTTCAGACATACTTTCGAGGTTGGTCGAGTTTGAGGAATGTGTTTGTGACGAGTTATTTGCTTTTGAGCTGGAGCGAGTGGGGCAGATTCAGAGGTAAAGGGGTTTTCAGATTGGTGTAAGCCAGCGCAGGATTAGGTATTTCTTGAGTTCAACTCGGCTAAATATAGTTTTGCCTGCAGTATCATAAACAATCACTCGGCAATTTGCGACGTGCCATTCTATCTTGATGCTTGATTACGAAGGTTTATCTAATGGCTTCCCATCGTGATTAATTACCCCAGTAGACGCTGGTCACGTTCGCCGCCCAAGCTTGCCCTGGAGCTGTAGCACATCGAGTTCTCCCCGATGTTGTTAAGCAAGTCAAGCTAGGAACCGTTGTCCTGAGATCGCCCGTAAAGGAAACCCTGCCTTTGGTCAGCATCAATCTTGTAAACAAGCGCATCAAGACACTCACGGTCGACTAGCGTCCAGGTCACTACACTTCCAATCCGCACTGAGGGATAGACTCTGCGTGGCGGCATCATACCGGAACGCACAAGCCGTGGGTGTTAGACTCTGCTCTCCAACACTCTCCAAAACACAAGGATACCATGCGGTTGACCCGCCCTCTGTGACAGACACCGAAACGCCGGATCTGAAAAAAGTAGACGGGTAGCCCGTGAACGCGGCTCCAGTGTTGAGCTCAATGCCGAACCTGATGCTTCCCAGGTTCGATCCGGACGCTACTATTGTTTCAAAGTCGGAGAATCTATACGATGGAGCGACAACTGATGAGATTGTGCAACTTGGGGCTGTGGGGAGAGGGTCACCAAGAGAAAATGGCGGGATTGGCTTTTCAGAAATCAGGCGGCCGGTAAACGTGGCTGGGTCACCAGCGCAATAGGTTGTCGTCTCTCCGACAGCGGAACATTCGAGTGGGAGCCGGGCAGTGCCAACACCAAAGATCTCAATGCTGTACGAAGCGTCAGCAAAGTTCAACACTCACACAGAGGAAAGCTTACGGCTGGGCAGGGTTCGCGTCATCACAGAACCACGTCTCGTTGACTGACAGGACAAAGGAGCCAGGACTAAATGTGAGGACAGTGTTGATGTTGTATTTTGGCGCTCTGGGCCGTCCAGTAGACTGAGCTGAACACTGCATAGTCGCAGGGGCGGTGCCGGTTAATGTCCCGAAGCAAGATGCACGGTAGTCGGTGATGGTATTTCTCAGTTGGATGAAGGCGTTTCCTCCTTCAATCCTTCCGGAGACGTTCCGGAGATTCAGCTGAGTGGAAAAGACCTCCCACGACGGTGTTCGTGACCCGGCTGCGCAACCCTCCTTGTCGTGACCAGAAGGCCCAGGAACTGCTGATGGGCTCAGCGGGAAGGGGGAGCTGAGGACAGACTTGATCAAGAGGGGATCGGTGGACGAGGGGGCGCAAGCGTCGGTATTGCAGGTAATTGGCAGGGAACCCTCTCCTTGGGCAGCAAAGTTGAGCCTATACAACAACAGTGTCAGGACTGATCAGAAATACCAAGTGAGAGATGACGAACGGTCTTGACGGAGTAAGATCATTGCACACCCATGTCTCGTTTATTCGCACTCGAGCTACGGCCGCCTCCAGCTGCACCGAAGCAAGCAAAGGAGAGCTGTCACTAGTGCAAGCTTGCCATGTTGACGTGTTTCTTGAAACCTGACAACTCAGTTGAGCTGATGTGTTGGTGGCTCGGTTGAGTGTCTGAAATCGCACAGTCGTTCCGCTGGATTCGAAATCTTCAATGAGCCAACTGGAGACTGTGAACGAGTTTGTCGTGCAGCCAGCGGTGAGTTGAGCAATGGCCAGAATATTTGGGATTGCTGGTGACAAGAGAGCGGCTAGGGTCGCAATGAAGACGATGGACGGCGCCATCTTGATGTACGGGCGGTTTGCACCGACGTTCCAGAGTCCAAGCTAGACAGCTCTGTTTACATCACAAACATGCTGGGAGTTCCGGTCATTTTATTATCTGCGTTGGAGAAGTGATATCTGGACCCCGCAGTTCTGGCCAAGGGTGGCGTTTATTGGGTTTAGATGAATATATTCCGGCTCAATCACCGTACCTGACGACAAGACCGGTAAATGACATGACGGCTGATATGCACACGCGAGAAGCGCTGTACAACCCGGATATTGGAAGATGTCGTCTCGGCTCAACAGCCTCAGCCGCCTTTCCACGTGGGATGAAATTACTTATATGTAGAACATGGAGGGATAATATCCTGGTTTTGATGACCCGGCTGCGGAGGACCAAGGCCTGGATTCATGTTGCAGGAGGATTGTGATGGTAACGCCAAGATACAGCTGTGATCAATATTTAGATTCCCCCCAAAACCCAAGGCTACCTAATTGACAGCTCCACCATATGTTGCTGCTGCAGGCCTCAAGTATCGGTTGTCTGCGATGGGGTTCAGCGGTAATATCGACGGCGGCGGAACGAAGGCCGCAGTCCTCCACAAGCACGGGCCACCCATCCTTTTAGGATTTGGCTGTACATTGATTTTGGCTAGTCTCAAACAGCCCGAAGCAATACGTTCAGATAACGCCTTCGACCACCGAGATACTGCGCATTCCGGAATTAAGATAGGTCTCATATACCTCCATCCCGTAATCAATTCCCAAGTTATTTCCTCACACTCTAGGTCCTAGGTAAACTCAATACACTGTTATAGTGGAAGGGAAGTGACAGGGCCAAACCCTCCGCAATGAAACTCAGTCAATTAGAATGTCGTCTTTGCTTTCTACATAAGAAAGACTCGACACCGACGCCGAGGCAATGTCTTTTCTGCCTACAGTACCTTAGTTAACCTAAATAAAGTTACCCGTCCATTATTACTCCCTTGTTAGGCATGTCTTCGCCGCAGAGACACCTATATTCCGCCAGACGCGTGTCATTCAACCGCTGGTTATTGACACTTGTGGCGTTTGCTTAAACTTGAATGCACCCTCGACAACCCTCTTGTGGTAGTAGTCTGTGTAGCTGGTCCCATTCGGAGCGTAATGGCGATATGAAAAGGCATGCCACATCTCCCCCGCAGCGGCAAGCGCCTCCACCATGTAAAACCACCATTCCATGGTGGGAGATAGTTGGCCTCCTTGAGATCGAATGTACTCTTCCTTGAGCTGCTGGTACCTTTGACCCTCCTCGATTGCCTTCGACCTCAGGACTTCTTTGGCCTCCTCGATAGACATTCCGTTCCACTTCTGGAGCAGGACAATCGCATTGACCAGCCTTGCGCCATTTGTTTGATGCGCAAGCAACTCTTTCTCCCAACAGAGGATATTATTACCCTAAACGCTCTCAACCTTCAGTGGCTTAAACACTTGGTTGATAGACTTTCTTTCTTCCGCCGAAATGTGAATACCACTTCCGAAAATGGTACATTTAAACATGAAACTGATTCAACGTCAGCACCCCAAAACTGCTTACTACTGCGCCCGGAATTCTTACTTCCATTCAAGGTCGCGTATACGCTCCAGGGCATATGGTTCGAGAGTTTGATAGGTATTAAAATGACTCCATACCGCAGTTTCCGCCTTTATCTAAGAGTTGAACAAAGAGATCACCACAGGTCCCTGAACCGGATCGAGCTCGGTTAGGCGAGTAGTAACCTTGGAGAAAGCCACTTTCAACTTAGCGCTTATTTCCTCGCGATCGCCAAGGACACGACGGCCTTCGATGTTATTATACTCGCTGTCGAACTACGAAAGATTGGTACCCCCGTACAAAGCTAACAACACTGGACTATACCTCGCTAGCGGGAGGAAGCTCGCAATCTGGACCTAATCAGTTATTCTCCGATGGATTGTAGTACAATCCGTGGAGAAGCGCACCAAAAAAACGCCCCACTTTAGAAACAGGGTGTCACGGCGGTTGCACCGTGACCGTCGTTGATCCAGTGATGTAGCTTGGCACGTGCAGAGCACGGGCCAATGCGACTTGAATGACTTCCCATCTCGCTGCCGCGAGACCTGTTTGTAGCTCTTTGAGCTACGTCTTGACAATAGAGCCTGCCCGTACCCGACGGAATAGAGCCCAGACTGTAGCATAGCCGAATATTACTATCATTATTCTGTCTACCTGTCCAGCCCGTGACAAATAATATATAATAATATATAATAATATATAATAATATATAATAAATATAAAATTAAATAAAAATCTATTAATAATATATATAAATAAAAAAATATAGTTTATTTATAAAATAAATATATTATATTAATTTATAGTACAGTTTATTTATAAAATAATATATTATATTAATTTAGGGTACGGTTATAGGCCTATTAAAATAGTGAGAAAATATACAAAATAACTACAATACTATAAATATACCCTCAATAGGTCTCAGAATGAATATACTTACGTGATAGTAACTCGCTAGCAGGCCGCACTTTACGTAGGACAAAGAAAAGATACTATAGGCTCGCAGGCTACATAATAAGCACCGGATTAGCCTAATCAGAGGGCTAGAATTGCCTGCACGCGTGTAAGGTACAAAATACGAAGAAAAATAAAAGTCGATATCCTATCTTAAATAGAATGCCCGAAGCAAATTACTTATATATATAGCCCCCCTAAACCTCTGAGCCCTTTAAGCGCCCCGCTTTTTTATTTATACTTTTAGGCCTGTGGCCGTACCCCAAACCACTATATATAGACTTCTCTTCTCTCTTATAAAATAGTTCCTTTCTTTCTTTCTTTAAGGGCTAAAGTTTAAGGCTAAAGCTAAAAGCCAAAGCTAAAAGTAATAAAAGTATTAGCTGGTAAGCCCTAATAGGCCTATAATATAGAACCTATACAGGGTTGCTGTAAAATATAGTAGTGCGTAAGCGGAAGCGGGAGGATACGACAGCAGTGCCGAAGGAAGGTAAAGTACTGTAATATAGTGAGGTATAAGGAATAAGAATTGCTTTTATTACCTTTAGCCTTAGCCTTTAGCCTTAGCCTTAAGCTTTTACCCTTAAGGAAAGAAAGAGAATTATTCTATAGGAGAGAGGAGAGGTCTATATATAGGCCTTCGTAAGCCTACTGTAGGTCCTGTAGGCCCTGGAAGCCCCTATACCACTTTGGGGTATTTAGTGGGCTTAGGTAGGTCTAGTATAGACTCACGGAAATCCATAAAACCTTCGGCAGTAGAGGTGCCCTATAAATTATGCTATTGTGGCGACTTACTACGTAAGCCTGTAGCTACTTTGGAAGGTTTTAGTATCCATTAACTAAGCTTTAGGCTATAGTAGCCCTGTAAGCCTTTAAGGGTCCCTTGTAAAGAATATTTTAAAGGGATCTAAGCCGGGAAGTTCCATTACTGTTTATAGTAGTACTGCCCACTGTAATATTAATCTGTAGGGCAGTAAGTAGGGCACTTAGTAATACTTATATATTAACAAAAGGTAATTCTTATTCCTTATACCTTACTATATTATAGTACTTTACTTTCCTTCGGCACTGCCGTCGTATCCTCCCGCTTCCGCTTGCGTACTACTGTATTTTATAATAACCCTATATAGATTCTATATTATAGGCCTATTAGTTATTCTCCGATGGATTGTAGTACAATCCATTGAGAAACGTACCAAAAAAAACGCCCCACTTTGGAAATAGGGGGTAGGATCCGTTGAGAATTTAGTTATACGATCCGATAAAATCTTTTTTACTAAAATAAAAAAGAAAAATATTATTAGAATTATCTAAACGAGTTACATAGAATAATATAGGATATATTATTGTACGAGCGGTATAGAATAATAAATAATAAATATGAAGTTAGGTGTAAGTATATTAGTAATATACGTGAATAGTAAAGTGAGTGAGAT